CATTAGAGTGATTGCGCATGGGCTGGCATGCTTGAGATCAGTAGCACAGAGATTTGTTGTCTTGATCATGTAGACTGTGTGTCTGTATACACATATCTGAATTGTGTGAATATATGTATATACACATTTATAAATTCTGGTGGGTAAGTGACATCTGTAGTCCTGGTGGTGGGAATATATGTATCTATCTGTAGTGATCCCTCCCAACTCAGGTGAGGTAACTCAACTCAGTATTTTCAACTCAATATTTCTGGACAATGAAAAGGCTTCAAGTAACCATCAACAGTGATGTATTTCCCCTATGTATCATCTTGTTCTCTGAGAAGCAAAAGGCAAGATCACAGGCCAAATTCAGAATGATTGTGTTCTGTCCTTCCTCTGGTTTCCTCCTAAACTTCTCCTTTTGACAGTGAAGTGAAAAGCATGACCAAAGTCCTTACTTGTAGTCTGTTTGGGGTTTTATCCTAAAACAAGCGCCTTCATACCTTCTCCAGCTGCCCAAGATGTGTGGCTATAGCGGCCCAGCTGAGCTCAGCATAAGGGCAAAGAGCATCCTCTCCTACCTGACTTTAAATCCCCATCTCTAGCCGGGTGAGTTGAGTAGCACAGTTGTTAATTAAGCATGCGGTGCTTATGACCATAGGTAGGTAGCTCCTTAGCCTCTCTGCCTCAGTTACCTCATCTGCAGGACAAGGCTAATACAACCATAACTTCATAGGGTTGGTCTATCAAATATTTGCTAAGTACTGAGAGCTATACATCCTGCACTTGATCTTAGGCAAATGGCCGAGATGCTAAGAGCTAGGGTCTAGCCATCACTGCTATTAGAAAGGAAACTGTAGAAGGAGCTGAATTTCAGGGTTTGCATTTCAGAGTGATTCTCGTCAAAGTGACAATATGGGTATCTGCTCAAACTTGATAAAATGATTCCAATATCCACTTGGAAAAAACAAACATTGAAGACTAACCAGAAAAACTGAAAATGAGTAAGAATTACAGGGTGTACGTTCTATCAGACAATACAACATAGCAAGACACCATAAACACAAACATTTTTGTACCAGAACAAGAATCACTCAGTCACTCTACTCTGACAAAATCGACACCTGAAACGAGAGGCTGGTGGAAAGAAGATACGCTGGATCCACGTCTCCTTTCTTATGCCAAAATAAATACGGCATAGGTCAGTTGTATAATGTCAATATAAGACTCCTGAAGTGTGAGATTGGGTGATTTTTAAATTTTTTTTTAAAGATTTATTTATTTATGCATACAGAACTGAGGTATAGGCCAGAGGTGCAGGGGAGGGGAGAGGATTCCCCAGAGACAGAGTGGGGTGCAGAACAGGCCAATGGACAAAGTACACTGCTGAGGGGAGCAGCGGGCGGGACAGGAGAGGTCGGGACAGGAGAGGTCTGCTGTGCCATGTGGTCACCTCCAGGCTGGGGATCAAACTCATGCTGGAGTGGCTTTAGCTTCTCAGTGCTGCGCTCTAACTTGCTGCACCACCAGGGAGGGCCCGAGATTGGGTAATTTTGTAGAAAGCCTCGAGTAAGAGAAGACCTTTTCAAGCATGCTGCCAAAGGGTGAAGTCATAAAAGCAAACAGATTGATGGCCCGGCCTCCTCTTGAGAGAGGGCGGGACGCAGAACAGAGTTCAGGAGGGGCCCTGCGTTCAGCACCAGGCTCCATTGTTCTGAAGGAGCATGTTGTCCAGGGCAGTGCAGCCCTTACCCCAGACTACCCTGACCCTAAGCGGGCAGCGGCCACGTATCCGGGAGGGCATAGAGCGTGCCCTTTGCATTTTGGGTTAGGGTTACCCTGTGTGCTTTCTTGCCACTCTTCTACACAGCTCATTTCTTGCTTATCACTCACACCCATTTATTGTAATAAAAAATTAGAGTTCATCAAAGGAAGATATTTAATGAATTAATTAAGGTAACTATTTAACTGGAAATATTTCTAAACATCTCCATGCCAACAGATGGTGGACCTAGGGAACTACAATTTTTTAAAAATAATATAGTAGTTTGTTTTTACATTATTTTGTGCCTTTTTCCATCTCAGTTGTGGAATTACAAGTTTTAATAATCTGAAAGTTAGGCATATGTGATGCCCAGTGAAAAGGCAGCACCTCCATTTTTCAGGGGCTGATCATCCAGGCTGCAGATTTTCCAGCTCAGGGACCCCTGGCTTGTCGGACAGACGGTGAAATACGAAGTACTGCATGTTCAAGGGAGGTGGAAGGATCGGGGGGAGGGCTGTCTCCCTGCTTCTCTGGCTGCAACCCTGGGGCTGTATTGATTCTCTTCTCACAGATGCCCTGTGTGGGCCAGCGAGCGGTCCCAGATTTCCTTCTTGAAAAGTGACTTTTTCTCAAAATTGGAGTTGTACACTTGTATTTCACAGCAACTTGGATGGAGCTGGAAAAGATCATGCTTAGTGAGATAAGCCAAAAAGAGAAAAAAAATACCAGATAGTTTCACTCATAGCAGGAGTATAATGGAACAGGTGAGAAAATAATAATAATAATGAACAGCCATATACTAGAGACATTTTGTGGGGGTGGAGGGGGGAATGGGATCAAAAACGGGGGTGGGGGGTAGAGAAGAAGTACACGGGACTATGGTGATGGCACACGGGTACTCGGTGATGGGAAACCCACGGGGATTACAATTGAGATGAAAAAAAAAATGTACAAAATGATGTAAAAATAAACTATTATAAAAAAATTGTATTAATAGAAAGTATTAAAGTTATATATGATGATCCTGGGCCCAATGAAGCCAACACAAAATCTGATTCCCTATACAGAACTAGTGGCCCATAGTGACTGAGTTAATGTCATTGTTCTAATTTTCTGTGATTTCTGCCATTTTTCACTTTGGTCGCGAGGCAGGGCACAGCACTTCTTGCCACTCTGCATGGTCACCCAGTAGCAAAAAACAGTGCTGGAGATTTTGCTAAAGCTACAGTGTCTCAACTAAACCCGAAGTGTGGTCTTAACAGGATCTAGGACTTGCATGTCTACAGAGGCTGTGTGCAGCGACTATTCTTACATCTGCCTCAGCACTGGAGTTCTCTTCCCAACTTAAAAACCATGAGGCCGGCCCTCCCTGGTGGCGCAGCGGGTTAGAGCACAGCACTGAGAATCTAAAGCCGCTTCCACATGAGTTCTATCCCCACCTGCCCCAGAGGAGACCACATGGCGAGGCAGACCTCTCCTGACACGCCCGCTGCTCCCCTCAGCAGTGTACTTCCTCGATCTGCCTGTTCTGCTCCCCACTCTGTCTCTGGTGAAGCCTCTCGCTGCCCCTGCACCTCTGGCCTGTACCCCTCAGTTCTGTATGCATAAATAAATAAATCTTTAAAAAAAAAAAACACGAGGCCTGGTCTCCACCCTAGAAATTGTGAAGCAATTATTGGGGTGCAACCTGAGCCTTGACATCTTTTTCATCTTCGGTGTTTCTGAGTTTGTCTCAGTACAGTAGTTCTTGGCGAGTAGTTCTTGGCACTCCCCAGACTGGGAGTGCCCGGGACCTGGCAGGAAGGCAGAGTCAAGCCCCACTCTGGACACGCTGCTCCAGACACAGGCCTGACAGTCTATTTTCATTGGCCCTGATGACCTGAGCAGGTAGGGTAACGGGGGCAAGGGCAAGAATTTGAACTTTTTTTTTTTTTTAAGATTTATTTATTTGTACATACAGAACTGGGGTACAGGCCAGAGGCTCAGGGGCGGCGAGAGGCTTCCCCAGAGACAGAGTGGGGAACAGAACAGGCAGATCCCGGGAAGTACACTGCTGAGGGGAGCAGCGGGCGGGTCAGGAGAGGTCTGCTGCACCATATGGTCACCTCCGGGGCAGGTGGGAATCGAACTCATGCAGAAGTGGCTTTAGCTTCTCAGTGCTGTGCTTCAACCCGCTGCGCCACCAGGGAGGGCCCTGAACTTTTTTAAATGGAGAAAAAAATACATTTAGAAGCAGCTGCCTGGACTCAGCTTAGTGGACCCCCAGTGCACTGGCAACATCCAAAGCTCCCTTTGCAGAAGCCAGAAGAATGTGTGCTACTTCTCCCACTTCTCCCCATCAGTGTGATAAGGACTTGACCATGGCCACCAGCGTCACAAGGACTTGACCATGGCCACCAGCGTCACAGAGCTTCTTCACAGCCTGCTGGGGCTGGTGCTGACTGGCCTCGGAGCAGCTACCAGAACACAGGGCATAGTGTGCTCTCTATGTGGCCGACTTGGCGCCAGGGGGAGCCTGAGGAGGGCTTAGTGGTCAAGCTGGTTTCTCTTGGGGGTGCGCTTCTGAGGACATCTGGTGCCTTTACAGCCCTGGATGTCAGAGGGGGTGTACGGCTATGGAGGCTTTCTCTCCTCAACCACCAAAATTACCTGCGCCTGCTTCCTCTGAGGTCTGGGGTCCGCTGGCCCACTTACTTTCACCTTCACCAAGCAGCGGGCCTTAAAAACACTGGGCAGCACCCAAATGCTCTAAATGTGTCTCTCTCTCCACTGCCTCAGAAACTGCTCCACAAGCCCCCCCTCGAGCACCTCCTACTTCTCGGCACCGGCTTGCGTGTCAGCCTGCCCTCCCACCAGGGTCTCTGCCCAGCTCAGCTCCCTCTCTGGCCTTTACAGGAAAGCTGCCTTCCAGCAGCGTGAGGCCATCAGAGTCTTCCGAGGCGCCCCATGGCTGGGGGTCTGGAGTCCGCCGCCACGCGAGGCCGCCGCCCCTCAGCCTGGATCCGGAGAGGCTCACTTTCCTTCCCAACCTGCTGCCGCCAGGTCCCGTTCCCTCCTCGTTCGTCTGCAGCCAGAAGAAAGGCCGAAACCAGGAGTTCAGGAAAGGGGAGTGGAGAAGGTAAGGCCAGCTCCCGGTCGGTGGGTGGGGACAGCGACTTCTGACTTCCCTCCCACCCCCTCGGTGGAGTCGCGAAACCCTGAAGGTGACGGGAATCTGCAAATCAGCCCCTACCCCACTCCACGCCTCCCCTGGGTGGGGCACGGCTCCTGTCGCCGGAGGTGGGCCAGTGTGTGTGTGTGTGTGTGTGCCCCCCGATTCGCTGGGTGGAGGGCCCTGGTCTTCCCCTCGCAATTACGCCCCTCCTGGCCCGGGTGGTGTCGGAGGCCGGTGCGGGTGGGCCGGTCGGGATAGGGGGGTGGGTGCCCCGGGTCCCTGCGAAGCGTCGCCCCCCGCACGGCATCGTGAAGCCCTGGCGGGGCGCACAGGCGGGGCACCCCCTTGCGTGACCTCAACCAGCGACCTGCAGATTCGCGCCGCCGGCCGCCCAGCTGCTCCCGCTGCAGCCGGTGCGAGCGTCTCGGGATCGCTCGGCCC